AAATCACTATTTTCTTAGAAAAAAGTTGATCTAAAAAAACGAAAAAAAATTTCAAAATACATCTTTTTTAAAAATTTTATCGTAGAAATGGGTTGTATTTATCTGAAAAAGTTAGCTAAGGATAGTTTTTTCATTCATTTTACAAAAGATAAAAAATTTGCATTTTTTTTTTTGAATTTTTTGGAAAAATGTCATAACTTTTGTTCAAGTTAATATTTTTTAATCGGATAAGGCTATGATTGTAAGTTACTTTAATACCTAATAGACTGCCAAATTTCACTTTAATTGGTTGAACCGTTTTCAATTGATGCGCGAACAAAGTTTTGCATACAGACAGAGACAGACAGACAGAAATTTTTTTTACATTTTTAGAATTCTAATGTCTCAAAACGAAAAAATATATAAAAATTTTTAAGTTTGAAGCAATGTACAGATAGTAATCTGATTTTATTAATATAGATAATGTTCGTTCACATTAATAACTTTTAGTTTACTATAGCTACACTAAAAAAAGTTATATGATTCAAGTAATTATAATTATTTGAAAAATAATATCTTATTTAAAAAGTTTTTATTTCGATCTAATAAGAATTTATTTCGTTTAAATAATTTTATTTAGTTGAATCAAATAAATCTTAATTGGATTAATTAAATAAATACTTGACTCTAATAAATGAATTTATTTAACACAAATAATTTCTAAATTTTATATTTTTTCATGGATTGCTTCTAAACTTTCTATAGTTGAGTATTACATGTTATTTAGTCACATTTTAGCATAATTTTTCAAAAATACTTTCTTATAACGAAGATGTAAGTATAAAAATGTTTTGAATATCAAAAAATTGAAAAAATTATAATTGATACCAATTACTAAGAAGCTTAATTCAGTAGTATTTGTGGGCTCTCTGATTTAACTTTTAGAGATATCTTGATCAATGTAAAGACAAAAGTTAAACACGGTGTTTATTTTGGTTTAAAACAATTTCCGGCTTTGTCCAAATTTTTCCTGGTTTACTGGACGGGTTTTTTTTAATAATACATTTAACAGGGTGCTTACCAACCAGAAAAGACGTAAAATATCAGGGAATTTAATGTAACCGAGAAAAACTGGATCTACTTGCTATACAATTAGTTCGAATTAGACTGTACTATAACTCAAAAAACTGGAGGAAATTTTAGATTTATTTTATTACATTATATTGATTGAAGTACTACAAATTGAGAAATATTGTTTTCTGCATTTGAATTAGTTTAAAATAACTAATTTGATAATAAAAAGTCGGTCACTGTTTCAAATGGTATTATTTTCCTAATGAAATAGACAATAGTAACTAATTATTATTTTTTCCCTGTCAAATCAAATTCCCGGCTATTTTTCGGTTTTCTAGGTTGGTAGATACACTGTTAAGTGCATTATCAGAAACTACAACCCGTCGAAGACGGGTACGACAGCTAGTGTATATATATTTCGAGGGACGAAATTAGTGGAAATTCTTATTCTCATATTATCTGGGTTGCCTTTTGCCCATCTTAATTAGTGAAAGTCTCTATTAATTGATATTTTCAGGTCTAAGACTCACGCGACTATTGATACTACACTGAAAAAAATTCCTGGTACAGGGTTCGAACCAGTGAAAGTATTTAAAAATACGGACTTTACGAACCAAAAATGAAAAATTACGGACCATTCACAGACCAATTGGTCTGTCAAATAAGAGAACAATTCAATTACTATTTACTAGAATTTTTAACTAAAATTCTTCTTTAAATCAATTGTTTTTCAATAATTTTCGAAAAAGTTTTTTGACAATTTTCAAATCCATTTTTTTACAATATTCAATTTTATGAAATTTCAATTATTCGTAAATTCTTCAATTAAATAAATATTAGAAAATAAAAACTTAAAATAATATAAAAAAATTCAATTAAACTTTTCCAAAAAAAATTAATTTCAAAATTCAATTATTTCTAAAAATTTACGCTCTAATGCTTTTAAAATTCAATTATAATCTAAAATTTCAACTGAAATCCATTTTTAAATCAATGTTTATGAGAAAATTCTACTAGAATTCAATTATTTAAATACAAATAAAATGCCGTAAAATGCAAATAAATAATTTATTGAATAATTGAATGCTTCTTAAAATTGAATTCCCATAAAGAATCGTAATCAAAAAATTTTCAAATAATTGAATTCTATCAACGAATTTTAATAACAATTTTAAGAACAATTACATTTTTCGAGAAATTCGATTAAAATTGGATTAAAAATAATTAAAATTCTGCGATGAGTTTCATTATTTGTGAAAATAATTGATTCCCTGTATAAATGATATTATTCATGAAAATAATTGAATTTTTTATTGCGAAGAAATTTATATAAAATTTGTAAATAATTGAATTCCTGTAAACTTTTTATTATTAATGAAAATAATTGAATTCTATCATCGAATTTTAATAAAATTTTTAAGAATAATTACATTTTTCGAGAAATTCAATTAAAATTGTTTTAAAAATAATTGAAATTCTGCAATGAGTTTTATTATTTGTAAAAAATAATTGAATCCCTAAAAAAAATTTTATTACTTTTTAAACAATATTTAATTTTTGCGAAAAGTATTATTACTCTTGAAAATAATTAAATTTTTGCAATAATTTGTAACTTTTCCAAAATTGAATTTTTTTTTCATGTTTTTAACTAAATATCTCCCTATAAATCCATTATTTTTAATAACTTTTTAAAAAGTTCTTCAAGAATTTTCAAATTCATTTGTTTACAATTCAATTTTACAAAATTTCAATTATTCGTAAATTCTTCAACTTAATATACCTATATATTAGAAAATAAAAACTTTAAATAATTTAAAAAGAAATTCGCATTTAAAGTTTCTCAAAAAAAAATAATTCCAAAGAATTGTTAGTTAAAAATATGAAAAATTCAAATTTTCATAAATTTTAATCTGAAACTTTTTTAAAATTCAATTATTTTTAAAAATATACGCTCTAATGATTTTAAAATTCATTTATAATCTAAAATTTTAACTGAAATCCATTTTTAAATCAATGTTTATGACAAAATTCTACTAGAATTCAATTTTTTAAATACAAAAATAACAATTTATTGAATATAATTGAATGTTTCTTAAAATTGAATTCTGATAAAGAATTTTATCTATAAATTTTCAAATAACTGAATTCTTTTGACGAATTTTAAAAAAAATTTTAAGAATTTTTTCGAGGAATACGATTAAAATTTTATTAAAAATAATTTAAATTCTGCAATGAGTTATGAAAATAATTGAATTCCTAAAAATACTTTTATTATTTTCGAAAATAATTGAATCCCCGTAAAAATTTTCATATTTTATGAAAATAATTGAATGATTGAGAAGAAATTTATAAAAAAAAATTGTAATTAATGAAATTCCTGTGAAATTTTTATTATTTTTTGAAAATAATTAAAAGTTTGTGTAGAATTTTATTAAATTTTTTTTTTTAAATAATTGAATTCTTTTGGAAAATTTTATGAAAATAGTAGATAATGAAAATCATTAAATTGAGGAAAATTTTTGAAAATAATTGAATTTCGGAGAAGAAGTTAATTATTTCTAAAGATAATTAAATATTAATTTTTTTTTAAATTCTTTCTGTTAATTATAAGTATTGTTTTTTCATCTATTTTTGTAGTTCGCGACTGTCTTGTAATTTTTAATCAAAATTTTTATTACAACACTATTTTTGTTTTAAAATTACATGAATTTAACGATATACGAATTTAAGAAAAAAATTATTAAAATTAACTTGGGACTTGGAAGAAAATTCCCTCAAAAATAGTAAAAAAAAATATAAAAAATTGTTGTTTCCAGAATAATTTTTACTATTTTCAAAGCCAATTTTTTTAATAAAAATTACAAAAATTTATTTCAAAAATAGTAAGATTTACTCTAAAAATAAGAACTTTCACTTTTTCCCTGAATATTCCAGAAGGAATATTCTTATTCACTTTAAAATCAAATAAATACTGAAGACATTAATTTCCATTATTATTAAAAAAAATTCGACATTATTTTCTTTCGACCGCAAAAAAAAAAAAAAAAAAGAAAAACTACACAAAAAAGAGAAAGACCAAGAGTCTTACCGCAGAAGAGTTCGAAAGAGATTCACCATCATGAGAGTGATTTTTTTTCCTCGAGCAGAAGGATAATTAATTTTACGATATGCGTGTTTGTGTATGTGCTGCGCGTTTGATTTAGGTAAAATTTTTCGTGCTTAGCGCAAAGGAAGAAGATGGTGAGTGTTATGGGTGATGTTGATGGTGTTGGTGACAGTGGCATTTCTAGTATTTGCGGGTAGTGGTGTCGATAAAGTTAAACCCACTAGGCTGGGGTCTCGCAATGACAACACATAAACGCGTTTATGTCCCGAGTTGCATTATACTGTAACCTGACAGAACCCTGCGGATGTAGTGTCTCTTCTGCACTGATGTGAGCATCTAAACCATTAGAATCTTTTCCAAATACAATCGTTAACATTTGTCAATTATTATTAATACTATTATTATTACCATAAAATTATTTATTTTTAAAAAAATTTTTTTATTATTTTCTCATTTATTTACTATTCTTTTATTTATTTTTTTTTCAAGTTTTAATTTAATATTTTTTCTAAGGATATCAAAGTGAGACGAAAAAACGAAAAGTGTTGCGTCGCAACACTTTTTGTTTTTTTGTCTCAATTTGATTTGAATGTCTCAATTTGAAAAAATGTCTTTCCAAATTTAATATTTATATTAAATTTATATTTATGCTCTTTTATCATAGGTAGTTTTGATTTTCCAAATGTACCTAATAACCTAAAAATTCTTATTATTTTTTCTAATTTTTCTTATTTTTGTTTACTAAAAGATAGTTGAACTAATAATAAATACAAAATAGAACTTCGGTTCGTTTTCAATACCCTTAAATTATAAAAACAAAAATTTAAATTTAAATTCTTGCCTTTTACTGTAGAAACAAACCCTCTCAGTCTTCCGAATCTTGGGAATCCCATTGTCACAAATTCACAAATGATGTGCAGTCCTTATGCCACTAGTCAGGAAAGAGAACTGATTTTCCTGGTTATATGTCCGGATATAGGCAGGTCTAATCAGCCTCAAAAGAAACCCCCTTCCCCCTTTTCCCTCATTTTGAATAAACTATTTTTTTTTTGAAAAATGAAACGATCGCGATTTTAAGAGACTCGTACGCGCGCGAAACGATTTGTCCATTTGAACGAAGACAAAGAACGAAAAAACGTTTCGAACTACCCTATAAGAACTTCGAACGCGATTTTTAAAAAATTCGAAACCTGCCCGGAGCTAATTTCCGAAAACCGACGCGGCGCGACACGAATAGGATTGCCAAAAAATTTTTTTCGGAAAACGTGAGAAAAAATCCTAACATTCGATTAGGGAATTAGTGAAAAAAAGAGGTGAACACTACCGGAGCTAAGCACTTTTAATCACTGCACAACCGACACGACACTACCGAGGGCAATCACTATATTCGGAGGCTGCGAACCTGAAATCAAAAAAATAAATATTTATTATCAAAAAATTTGGATAAAGATTATTTATTATTAAGATAATTTTTTTAAATACACAAATAAATATTTATCAAAAAAAATAATTGCTAGGCAATATTAACGCAAAATTTGTAATTTTTCACCATTTGTGTTAAAAGTGTGACTACATAAAAGAAACCACATTTTTAGGAAACTTTTTATAGTCTTACCTAATTTTACAATGTATTTTTAATTTAATTTTTTTTAAATTCGCGCCAAATCTTTAATTTCAGCAACAGCAGCGCCTCTACAATAATGGCGTTACTATATGAAAAAGTAAATAAAAAAATTACATTTCCAAATTAACAAAGTGGAAAGTAAAAAAAAATTATACTAATTTAAAATAAATAATTAACATTACGAATTAAAATGTGACGCGTTCTAAGAAAAGGTACCAAAACAGCAAATAATTTTAAGGTTATGTTTTTGTTATTTTTATCTTAGTTAAAAGTTTCCGTGTTTATTTTTAAATTAAAATCAGTTTTTATTAATTATTCCAGGTGTAATAAAAACTTAAACACCTGTAGTTTATATTTAGAGTTGATCCCATTTATGTTCTTTCATTTGAAAAATTATAATTATATTTCTTATTTCTTGAGTATACTTTGCTTTAGAGAGTGTCACAATTTTTCACAAATTAAATGAAGCATCGGACTATATTTTTAACTCTATCAAGAAAATGATTTAAATCTTCCATTAAATTATTTTTATAGTAATTTTTGTAGAAAAAATCAATGGTCTGAAAGTAAAATCGGTCAGAAAATATTCTGAATATTTTTGGATTTTTATTTTTCTTCAAAATTGGTAGGTTCTAAAATCCATTCGCAATTTTTTCGAAAATATGTTTTTTGTATCTACAAGGTTCCTAACTTTTCCTTGATTTTCAGACAAAATTTTAATTTTTTTCCTGACCCGGAAGAAAATTCTGATTCACTCCAAAAATTATTAGATACTGAAAAAAATGTTCTATTACATTTATTTACGAATTTCTTTAATTGTAAAATTATTCAAAAATATTAATGTCTTCTTTTAAAAAAAAATATAATCATTATTACTTTTCTATAGGAATTAAGATTTTCAAATTCAAACCTTTTGAAATTCAATAACTTATGGAAATATTATTATAAAACATGAAGAAATCGATCATTCCGAATCAAAGACAAGAATTAATTTCTTGTGAAGAATTTTATTCCAAATAATTAAATTTCTCAGATTTTTTTAAAAACTTTTTGAAAATAATAATAATAATAATAATAATAATAATATAATAATTAAAAATTTTAAAATAATAGAAATCTGACAAAGAATTAAAAAAAATTTTTTTAATAATTAAATTCCTTTGAAAATGTTTATATTTGAAAAGAATTTAATTCTTGGGAAGAATTTTACAAACATTTTTGACAATAATTGTATTCCTAGGAAGAATTTTATATTTTACGTAAATAATTGTATCTATTCTATAATCAACTTTATTATAATTTTTCAAATTTATACACGGAGAAAGAATATATATTTAATTTTGTAAAAATATTTTCAAATTGGGGAAAAAGTGCGACAAAGCGAAATTTTGATATAAAAAATACTAAACTTTAAAAAAACTTATGTGAAATTTAGTATAATTATATCAAATATCAAGAATATTAATTAAATTCTAATATAACTTTAATAAATTTCACAAAACTTTTTTTAAAGTTTAGTATTTTCTATATCAAAATTTCGCTTTGTTGCATTTTTTCCCCCAATTTGAAAATATTTTTACAAAATTTAATATATATTCTCTCTCCGTGTATAAAGTGTATTATCAAAATTTTATTAAATAATTGAATTCTCAAGAAAAATTTTATTATTTATGAAGATAATTGATTTCTTGCGAAGCACTTTATTTTGAATTTTTTAAATAATTGAATTCTTAAGAAGAATTGTATTAAAAATAACTGAATTGTATAGGAAAATTTTATTAAAATTGCAATTTTATTAACTAAATCTTGTAAAGAATTTTGTCACCATTTTTTTAAATAATAGAATTTTTAAAAGAATGTTATTTAAATTTTTCAAAATAATTGAATTTCTCAGAACTATTTTTTTCAATTCTCTGAATATATTTTAATTATTTCGAGAAACTTTATTAAAAAATTAAAAATAATTGAATTGGTTCGAATAAATTTACAAAAAATTCGTAAATAATTGAATTCCTGTGAAACTTTTATTAAGATTTTGTTTAAATAATTGAATTCATTTGGAAAATTATATTAAAATAGTAGATATTAAAAATAATTGGAATGAGGAACATTTTTGAAAATAATTGAAATTTTTGACAAGAATTTTATTAAATTTTTTGAAAATAATTGAATTTTGGAGAAGAATTTTCTTATTTATAAAGATAATTGAAATTTTGACGAGAATGTTTTTTAAGTTTTGAACATAATTGAATTTATGCGAAGCAGTTTATCACTTTTGAAAATAATTAAATTTCTGGAATCAGTTGTTCTTAAAATTTCAAATTGTAACCTTTGAAGTTTATCTATTCATGAAGATTGTAAACGCAACTCTTTTGAAATGAAATTAATTTTGAAATTTTTAACTAAAATTATTCATTAAATAATTTATAAATAATAATTTTATGGTAGTTCTTCAAGAATTAAGTTATTTAAAAAGAAATTATTGTCATAGAAAAAAAAAATTTAAGGTATTGTATTATAATTCTTGGCAATTTCATAGTTTATGAGGCAAACAAAAAAGACTCCAAAATTCAGAATATTCTTATAAATTCTAAAAATTGAATTTTTTCCAGAACTTTTAATAAAAATCCCTGCCTTTTTTCTAATTTTTCCTGACTTGTGGCAACCCTGATTAACTAAATATTAAAATATACTAAAAATATTAAAGTAAATAAATAAAATAAAAATTTGACAACTACAATTATTTTTCCTAATAATCGTTCAATTATTGGTTCAACATTTAGTTTACATTTCAGTAATGAAAATTAATGTTTATGATTTTACACACACACATACACACGTGTATATAAATTGCATAGGTCATACGTGCTAAAGGGGGTGTAGTGTCAGAGAAAGATGCGGGGTAGGGTTATAGATGAAAGGTTAGAGGGAGGAGGGAAGAGATGGAATGAGATGGTAACTGTAAAGCTCTGCGCGTGACACTGGGTTATGTTATGTTCTTCAGGATGGGCAACTCCATGGATATATATCTATATACACATACATATATATATATATATACATACATTTCGGAGTATTGCTCATACACTGCGTTTATGGCACATAACTGGCGCACAGATTATTTTGGCTTGATCAATTTGATAACTCCATATGGTTATGCTACCTTCCGATTACAAGTGCGAGTTTGTACTTTACCCTCTGTCCTAGGAAATCGAAAATTTCAATCTTGAATCTAAAACCCCCATCGTAACACCAGTCGGAAATTTTTAACTGTACTGTTATTCTATGAGTGATACAATCGAAAGTCAAATAGGAAATTTTTTTTTTCGTTTTGCTTTTAGGGACAAAAATTTCACTCAGAACCTTTTTTACGAGCAATGACAATATAACTACTCTGGAAGATTGTGAATTTTTTTTTGGTTGTTGAAATTAAAAAATCAAACCGGAATTCAATGTGGAAACTGTAAGGAAAATGGGATTTGAAACATTTTTACGAATTTTCAATTAGTGATTTTTAACGAAAAGTATATTCAGAGTTGCCACAAAAATTTAATTTTGTTTTTCCCTGATTTCCAGACTTTCTCCTGACTGATTTTGACTTTTTCCCTGACCCAAAAGAATATTTTAATTTACTCTAAAAATTATTGGATACTCAAAAAAAATGTTCTATTATACATTTATTTATGAATTTCTTTAAATGTAAAATTCTTTGAAAACATCAATAACTTCTTTTTTAAATAAATATTTAATCATTATTATTTTTCTATAGGAATTAAGTTTCTCAAATACAAATCTTCTGAAATTCAATAACTTATGATAAATTTAAGATGACAGAGTGATAAAATCATTATTTTGATATCATAAGAATATTGTAACTATAAATTCAAATTTTTAAAGATTTTAATTTTGAACCATTTTCAAAATTTAATTATTTCTAAAAATTCACGCTATAATCATTTAATATTCAAATTATAATTTAAAATTTTAAGTAAAATTCATTATTTAGTCAAGTTTTATTAGAAAATTTTTCGAGAATTCAATTATTTAAATACAAAGATAAATAATTTATTAAATAATTGAATATTTCTTAAAATTGAATTTTTATGAAGAATTTCATCAAAATTTTTAAAAATAATTGAATTCTTTCGGCGAATTTAAATGTTTTAATTTAAAACAAACTTTTAAGAATAAATGCAATTTTCTATTATTTTATTTAAAAATAAAAAATAATTGAAATCCTGCAAAGAATTATATTATTTATGACAATAATTGAATTTTTGCAACGAATTTAATTAAAAAATTTTTTCCAGAATTGAATTTCTGTGAAGAATTTTATTCGTGAAAACAATTGAATTCCAGAGAAATTATTTATGAAAATAATTGATTTCTTGTGAAGAATTTTATTCAAATTTTTTAAAATAATAATTAAATTTCTCAGAATTTTTAAAAAATTAAAAAAAAAAATTTAATTCTATCGAGACATTTCATTAAAAAATTGAAAATAATTGAAATCTCACAAAGAATTTTATTAAATTTTTTTGTAAATAATTGAATTTCTGTCAGAATGTTTATTTTTGAAAGGAATTAAATTCTTGAAAAGAATATTATTG